CACATTTATGTCTATTTGAATTTCTGTCATGTCGCTCAGAAATCAGCATTTCGCGTGAAGTGTGTCATTTTCCGGGAGTTTTCATACGATGGGATTTCAGAAAATCGTTCTCGCTCTGGATCGCCGACTCGTTTCATCAAGATTTGTGATGTTTGACTAGATGAAACGTTTCTCCAGGGTTAGGCACTCCCAACTATTTACGATGCATTGTGGAACGTATGAAGACCCTTGAATAATTTCGAGTAGGCAAACAATGTTGGAAAGCACACGAGAGAATGCTAAAGCACATAACATCAACAATAATCGCGTATGACTGACAATGTTTGTATTGTTACAACTATTAAAATCAAAATCAGTCTTATATTGTTATAAAAATACTCAATAACAACAATGGGTGGAGATATTCATAACATCTCATAAAAATTCAGATAAAGAAGTACAGCGAGGTCACCCCGTACATGTCTAGAAATCTCCAGACTTGACATGAAACAAGTACCTACAAAAGGGTGGGAAATTCAAAATTTGTGTACCAAAATTTATTGATTTCCATGAAACAGACAACCTGCAGAGGTTGAAAATTAACGTCAAATGGAAACAAAATGATATATTTTAAATAAAATTGGAAGAGAAATTATAAACTTGTTGTAAATATTTAGAAACGATGAAAAGTTTAAATTTTATTGTTGTAAACCATTTCCTTACTTACAGATATTGAAGGATGCTAATGAAAAATGGTTATTCTTACACATAAGTGAGGTTAACTATCTATTTATATGAATGTTAAGGAAAGAAGTATCTAAATTCAGAAGTAAGCAGTAAACTTGTAGAGCAAATAGTTTTTGAGATATAAAAGTTGAAAATTTGGATTTATGGAAAATTATAGTTGGTAACTAAGGAAGGCGGAAGATTTTCAACTATAAGATATAAGATGAATTCCACCACAAATTCAGCACTTGGAGAATTCCAATCACAGGAGAGGAAGATCCAGTGGATAAGAAATTTCCACTACACACAACTCACTGAAGGAAAACCAGGGATTTACCTTTTCCATATCCAGTATCTAAATATATGCATATATAAAAAAATAATTTGTTCAAAAACAAAAACTGGACAATTCCAAGAAAGTCCATCGAGAAAGAGTAGAAAATCACATAATGTCCCTGAGATATTAACTGACATTTTACAGACTGTTAGTGCGTTCCGTTATTCACTTCAATTAGTTCGGTGTAGCCACAGAACATTTGTCGAGTTATTTGCTATTCTCTTCAGGTAATTTATATTTAGAATTTGAATTTTATATTTCATCAAACTGTTCTACATTTTCTTTCATTCAGTTGTGTCATTCCTAAATTTATTTACAGGAATACCTGCTATTCAGATCATTTTGGGTAAGTAATGATTGTATTTTAGCCTGAATCCACCTGTGGGCTTGGGAAAAATCTCTATACATATACCGGGTGTCCCACATTTTATGTGACAGGCAATATCTGGTTTGTTGAAGGAGATACACAAAAATGTTTCATACAAAAGTTTTAGGAGTTNTAAACACCTTCATCGTTCATTATTTTCTATCATTATTTTCTTTCATTGTTCCATGACAAAATCATATGTTTTTGTGGAGTATCACTCATATTTATTCATTTGTATTTCATTTCATGATATAATGCTATATAAATTATGTATAAAAAATATTATCAAAACCATTTACTTCCCTGTAGATATTATATAATCAATCCTTTAATTTGTTCTAGTGAATGAATATATTATTATTAGTTCTGTGTGAGTCTGAGAATCCTGAGATTGTGAACTTTCTCACCTAATCGATATTCATGAAGTTTAATTCCATTCCATACTGAAATTCAAGTGGCATTTGGCAAAAAAATACTCATCATTCAAAGTATCTCCCTCAAGAAATCGTCCTTCAGTGAATGATCACTTTTTTATCATCTCCATTCGAGCACTTTTTGAAAACGCCATCTGAATAATAAATCAAGTCTTTTTCCATCTCGGCAGAAATTATAGTATTCCGCCATAATATAAAGTCAAGACTAGAGACTTGAACGTCTAGCTCGAGACAAGATTAAATCAGGAATTTAAAAGCGATCTCAGTCTGGAGAGATATTGTTTATGCATATAGAGCGTCTCGTTAATGGCAATATCTTATTAGACGGGATACAATTTTGACGCTAATTTCGTCAGCGTGGTGAAGGGGGAATTATTCAACGGCGTCGTTTGGAGACAACGGCAGATTATGTGAGGGGTTGTCTCGCAGGAATTTTGAATAACACGGTTGTGGATGTCCTTTTCATGTGAGTTCCTAGAGAAATAGAGACGCACTTGCGAAATAATAATGGATGAGCGAGTAACTGAGTATAATTAATTAGGTGAAGAATATTTTTCATTCAGAATATTCTAGTCCTCCATTTCTATATAAAAGAATGTGGGAATCTTCCAAAGAAAGAAAGGAAGTGATCAATTTCGAGATGATCTCTTCGCAAAGATGTGTAGATTAGATCAAGATTGTCGGGGAGCTGGCCCACCAGGAAGATACAACAAAGCCTCAGGTCGGCAAAAGACGAAAGTGACCCACTTTCAGCAGTAGAGGCCTATCGCGTACCCATGCACTTGTAGGAACGTATATATCGGAACCACCAAAAAGTCCATGGGAACATAGCTGAAGGAACATGAAATAAACTGTAGGCTTGATCAAACTGTGGCAGAACACGCATTCATTGATGGCGCCACACAGAAAAAAAAGAACTAATTGCCTCCAACTAGGGGGGCCGACTGGTACAGGATCCACAAACACCAGAGGAAGAATATTCTTCCTCTTGAAGATAATCACTTGGTGCTTGAAACACGTGTCGAAGTGTTAGGAATATGGGTTTGGTGTTGGGAAAGAACTTCAATAATATTAATGTAATGAAGTTATTACCAATCACCACATCAAAAAACTGATGCAATAGAGGTTGACAGGTCATTCAGTAAATTTTTAGGAATTCTTGAATCTGGGCATTACAAAATATTAAGTTTGTTACCTTTTTCTCACCAATCTATTTTACATGATATAAATAAACTAACTTTCGTCTGATTAAGTTTTTTATTTGTTACGACCGGTTCCGGTTTGTTAAACCGTTTTCAAGTAAAATGGTTATTACGTTTTTTTATTTGGTACGACCAGTTTCGGTCGTACCAAATAAAGTGTTTGTTAAAACACTTTCAAGTGAAATGGTTCCTAAGTTTGTCATTTCGTTACGACCGGTTTCGGTTTATTAAATCATTTTCAAGAAAAATTATCAGGGGGTTGTTACGACCGGTTTCGGTTTGTTAAACCATTTTCAAGGGAAATGTTTACCAAGTTTTTTTATTTGGTTTCGACCGGTTTCGGTTTGTTAAAGCACTTTAAAGTAAAATGGTCATTACGTTTTTCTTTTATTTATTACCATCGGTTTCGGTTTGTTAAAGCACTTCCAAGTGAAATGGTTACTAAGTTTTTTATTCGGTTACGACCGGTTTCGGTTTGTTAAATAATTTTACAAAAAGAATTGTAAGTGGGTTTTCATTTGTTACTACAGGTTTCGGTTTGCTAAACCACTTTCAACCAGAATTGTTATTACGATTTTTTATTTGTTACGACCGGTTTCGGTTTGTTAAACCACTTTCAAGTAAAATGCTTACTAAGTTTTTTATTTGGTTACGACCGGTTTGGGTTTGTTAAATTACTTCAAAGTAAAATGGTCATTACGTTCTTTTTTCATTCATTACGACCGGTTTCGGTTCGTTGAAGCACTTCAAAGTGAAATGGTTACTCAGTTTCTTTTATTTGATTACGACCGGTTTCGGTTTGTTAAACTATTTTCAAGAAAAATGGTTTGTGGGTTTTCATTTGTCAAAACAGGTTTCGGTTTACTAAACCACCTTCAAGTCAAATGATTAGTGGGTTTTTATTTGTTACGACCGGTTTCGGTTTGATGAACCATTTTGAAGTAAAATAGTCATTACGTTTTTTATTTGTTACTACAGGTTTTGGTTTGTTAAACAACTTTCAAGTTGAATGGTTACTCAGTTTTGTATTTGGTTACTACCGGTTTCGGTTTGTTGAACCATTTTCAAGTAAAATGGTTAGCAGGTTATTATTTGTTACTACCGATTTCGGTATGTTGAACCATTTTCAAGTAAAATGGTTAGCAGGTTTTCATTTGTTACTACCGGTTTCGGTGTGTTGAACCATTTTTGAGTAAAATGATTAGTGGGTTTTTATTTGTTACGACCAGTTTAGGTTTAATAAACCATTATCAAGTAAAATGGTTATTACTTGTTCATTTGTTACCACCGGTTTCGGTTTGTTAAACCATCTTCAGGTAAATTGGTTTAACAAACGAAAACCAGTCGTTACGAATAAAAAACTCAGTATAAATCAGACGACAATTATTTACTTTATCCTATATTCAATATGAATTTCTATAGAATCAATAGGTCATCAATCGACCAAGTTGAATATTTCATTGTCTTTGATAAACTCATATCTTTCTGACAGAATCCCTGTATAGTGAAAATAATTTCGAAAACACCAAAAATTTAATTAAAATTTAAATAGGTTTCTGCTTTCAAGATAACTGGCAGTTCGAAACCGAAAAAAATTACAGAACCCTCTACAGTGGCACAAAGCTGAGACATAAAATTCAAAACCCCTTCTGGTAATTGCCATTCAAAACTTCAACCCGAGCGTGTCAAAAGGAAATGCGTTCAAGCGAACTCCAATCACCCCTTTTATTAAATGATCGTTAGCTCGATATTCCACCCACTGAGGCCAGAGTATCAACTTTATGTTAATTGAACGGCACATTGTGCGATTCTCTTCGTAATTACTCTCGAATCGTCCATCCGTCGATGAGACTTTGATAATTCAAACTCGTTTAGGGCGACGTAACGTGCATGAACTTGTAATTGTCCGGCTGCAAATTGCATCGGATTATAGCTTCGTAGCAGTTCCAACTCACCATTAATGTTAGCAGAAACCTGTAACTATCTATCTGTTACAAACTATTTTCTAGCGGACTTGATACTTTGGCCTTGATAGTTGGTGTTTCGGGAGCGGTGTGGAATTTCCTGGAATGATACTGGAGTTGGATCAAGCTGGATTTTAGAAAGATTTTCATGAGGAAACACAAATTTGAAGCAATAGTAATTATAATAATAGTCATTTATTTCTTTAAGACAATTACAAACCATATGGAAAAAGTCAGTCGTTTACATTTAAAATACAATAAAGCTAATACTAAAAAATTGATTTCACCGCAAATTGCCACGACAAATGTTCGTACAGTTTATAAAAACACTGTTCTGTCAAAAAGGCTTTCGAATTATATTTGAATGATAGTTTTGTTATTCAATTTCTCACATTTGAAGAAAGAGCATTGTATATTCTAGGAGCCATATGATCGGGAAATTGTCATTATTATTGTCGAATACTAGCATTCTCAACTCTGATATGACTAGACATGCTAATGTTAATATTTTCAGTTCCTTGGATATATCTTTGCATGAATGAGTTTGTGAAAGGGTAAGTGATCATTGGTTCCGAGAATCAGGTGCCCTGAGCAAGCGCAGTGAGCCAAGAATGACAGCCTTGTGCATCTGTACGGCTAAGATTTCTGCCTTAGTGCGGCAAGCCGGTATGATTTTAAGATTCGAGAGTAGAGAGGACATAATTACACCAAGGACTCCAATAATCAGAACAACCATCTTGACAGAGTGATATGGATAGAGTCTGCGGAGTTCGAAGAGAAAATCTCGATATTTTATCCGATTTTCCTCCTCTTTTCTGACGATATTCGTCTCGCCAGGAGCTGAAAACTCCACGACAAATATCGTTTTGCTCTGGTGGTCGAGAAGGACTACATCAGGCCCATTAGCTTGTCTGAGCCTGAGGGTGGGGAACGAATAGTTCCAATAAATTCGACACTTCTCGTTCCCCACAACGGATTCAATATCCCCCGAAGCGTAGGGCAACACCGGTGTCTCGTCAATACCGTAATAGTGCCGTAGATGGTAATATAGCACTCTTAAGGCCGCGTTATGTCGATGGATATAGGCCGAGACCGCATATGCTGGACATGCTGATAGCAAGTGCATTAGGGTCTCGGGCGCCTCGCGGCAGGCCCTGCACCTTGTGTCAGGAACCTCTATACCCATCACGCGACTGCGGTAGACTAAGGTGTTGAAGACACCATCCTGGCAAGCCATGATGAACCCCTCAGTTTCCGACTTCAGCCCACTCGACCTGAGAAAAGCGAACGTCAGGCGCTTTGATAAGCCAAGGTCTTCAATATTATTGAAGAAGACCCCATGCATTGACTTATCCCTGTGTCTCTGCAGAAGTAATCTCTGCGGCTTTTATCTGAGCTTTTTGCTGAACGGGTTCCAACTCGGTGACAGAGTTGTAGTCACCTCGTTCAGACTCGAAAACTATACCGAGAATTCCGATTTCCAATTATGGAATATCATCGACTTTAGATCGATGATATTCGGGCTAATGAGCCCGAAACCGGTCTGCAAGTGTGCTCGTTCCAAAATTGAAGGTCGACTCTTTGAGTTGTATTACCAATTGCATATGCAGGACATTTTCTATGAAGATTCCTGCACTGACGCCCTTCGTGGTATTAGCCAGGGGAGTAAATATTTTCTGATAGGCTTCAGTTCATTCAACCTACTGAAGTTCATTTCTTTAGATTCGTTTACTGCCAGTCTTCAAACATAGCCCACTGACTAATAAGAAAAAATGTATTAATATTTCTATTTTTAATTTTTTGGTTGTTGCTTATAGGTTATTTCTTTGTAATGTCAGTTTTCTATTTAATAAAATTGTAATTTTTTTCGGTTAATACCTCTAGAAGGATAGCGTTTTGCGACGATTGAGAATGAAGCTCATAATCCGGTCAATCTAGACATTGGAAGCTACATAAATTTACAACAAGCTGCAAACGCGTGTTATTATTCAAAACATGGTTAAAGATATGATTTTGAAATTCCGAATGATTGCGATGCCTGGAAAAAAATTTATTCAAGGTCAAAGGACAAAAATCTCTAAAAAAATTGGTTTCTCGCGATTTTCAGGAGAACAGTGAGTTTTATCATAAAATAATCACAGATAAAAATTGTAGATCTTGAAATTATCTACAAAATAAATGAATATATCAATACTTTTTTTACTAAGAGCCACCGTTCCTGAGATACGACGAGTCAAAAAGTTGTAAAAGTTGTAATCGTCATTATATGCATACGTTTCCACGCCACCTATGAAGTAGTGTACTTAGCTCGTTTTTTTAACGTGGTTTCCCCAGTAGGCCTATTCCACCTGAGTCATAACCTTCAAATACTTCTTCTTGTCGTTCTTCTTCTTGGTCTTCCTCTTCTTGCTCTTCTTCTTCTTCTTGATGTTCATCCTGGGTGTAGGTAGACTGCGTCAAGAGTGATGTATCGCATGTTTCCTCGTTGGTATCAAATGAATCCTCCACTATTGGTAATTCAGCATTAGAACATGACTGGCCTTGACAATGTGTACATGCCAGAGAACACAACAGTCCAACTTTTTTACAGCCACATTTAGCGCTGCATCCCTTTTTACACTTGCGAAAAATTGTGTTCAACAGTTTTTCCGGCGCAGGTGGAAGTAAAGTCTGAATAGGTTCCAATGCATTGTCGACCAACTTCCAACCCCAGTCTTTTGGGTCTAGCTGATAATCAAGCCACACTTGAACTTGGGAATATACCCGGAAAAGATGTTGATGAGCAGCAACTGAGGTTGGAGGAAGACAAGCTTATTGCACCTGTTTCTTATTTTTAGTGTTTTTTACGAAACATGTATATCGATACTTATCTAAGCAGGTGGTTTTTTCGGAGCTTTGTGCATAGAAAGAAGAAACTGAATCCCGTTGGTGATAATATCTTGTTGAGTCGAATTACTTTTTTTGAAAACTTCAGAACATTGAACTAAATCTTGTTTTTCAAACATTCTAAAGACTGTTGCTTTACCCCTCCTGTAAAATGCAGACGTCGTATCACAGCTAGTTATTGCGTGTAACAATAGTACATGATTTTGACTCTTTGCAAAAGTAGATGAACTTTTTGATGAATATATTACAATTTTTCTGGCTTTAGAAAGAAAATAGTTTTTTCAGGTGGAGTTCGAGCAGTAAGAAGTACGAGTGAGTCTACATCTTCACCAACATCAATAGTTGTATTTGTCATATTAAATTGCTCTATAGCTGTTTCAACAATCTGTACGTCGGCATCGTTTTTAGCCTGTTCAACCAATATATTTTCGCCAATAAACTTATCCTTCAACATTGAAATGAACCGAGATTCGTTGTGAGTATTTTAAAGAAATTTCTGTTTACTGGTAGGAACTGTCATAAGTTCATCAAATAGAATATCGGAAGATGAAGATGTTGCTAAAGTTTGACGACGTTGTTCTGCAGTTTTAATATTTATCGTGCAATCATCATAGGCGTCAAATACGACCGTAATTCTGGCACCAAAATGTCTACGTACATACTGAACGTATTTATCTAAAATAATGCTAAATGTTTCTTCGCTATCCCACACAACACGATGTAGTAAGTATCCACCGTCAATGATGTATGTCGTATTAGTATCGTTAATTTCAATATTGACCTGTTGGAAATAATCGTAAATGGCAGACTTCTGTGTTTTACGCATCCCGAGGTCATCACAATTAAATTACAACTTTAGAGCTGTATATACGTGGCATACTTATGCATATAATGACTTTTACAACTTTTTGACTCGTCATATCTCAGAAATCGTGGCTGCAAGAAGAAAAAGTATTGATACATTTTTGTAGAGAATTTCATAATCTACAATTTTTATCTGAAGTTATTTTATGATAAAACTTACTGTTTTCCTGAAATTCGCGAAAAACCAATTTTTTTCGAGATTTTTGACCTTTGACCTCCAATACATTTTTTCCAGGCATCGTAGTCATTCGGAATTTCAAAATCTCATTTTTTACTATTTTTTGAATAATTACGTGCATTTGCAGCTTGTTGTAAATTTATGTACCTTCACTCTTATTTTTTAGTCTAATTTGACCGGACTATCAAAGATATACCAAAAAGTGCATATCAGAACTACTCCGAGGATTGAGGTGAACGATGACACAAGTGTATTATATCGGAGGAAGACTACATTGAAGGCAACGAACTGGAAAATGAATATTCACCTCAATTTTAGAACAGACAGTGTACGGATAAGACAAAACATTGAAAACTCGTGTTTACTGTTGATTTTTGTCATTGCCAAGTCCAAATAATGTTTTGAGTAATTTTTTTCAATCTCCATACTGTGCAGATTTTTGGTAACCTTAAAGATTACCGTGACCACTATGAGGATGACATCCCTGTAGGTTTCGCAAGAACAAATAGACAATGGTATGAGCTCGAATACCGTCTCATAAAACTTTCTTCGAACAAAGTTTATTTCAAATATCAGCTTGGCATATTTCTGCCTTCAGATGGGATGATATTCAAGCGGAGATACAGCAAACTTGATTATGTATCCATACATATTAATCAGAGTATAACATGGCACAGCTGAAATAATATGCAGATGGAATTCACGTCAAAATGGAGTTTGATTCAATAAGATATTGCATTCGCTGTAGGATTTATTGCATTATTCATTTCCAATCAGGAAGTCTTTTCCAAAAGGAATTGTTTAATTTTACCGAACTCCATTTAGTGAATAGATGCATACAGTGTGTTCAAGATAAGGAGGTTTGAGATGAATTTCACTAGTTCGGACTTCCATTGTCTTCTATATAAAATGATTTGAAATCCCTGAAACAACTAAAAAAGAAAAATTGAAAATGAATAGCTGAAAATAACAATTATATTAAGCAAAATAAATCTGAAATGAAATAATAGTGAAATGAAATACAAGTAAAATAGAACAATTGTGATTGTTTTTCACTGTTTTAAACCAACCATACATGCCGAAGTTCCTCACTAAAAAACAAGCAATTCTATTGAATGCCCTAGATAACTACCTCCTTGCTCCAGGTGGAAACG